CGAAACAGGGACGACACAGGGCAGATGAAGATCTGACACACTTACAACATGTATTCTGGACAGCAACTTTCTTTTGTGGTCCCACAACACAGCAGAAGTTTGAATCCAAGAGAACACATTAAATCACACTGTCCTTGTTGTTAGGGGAGAACTGAAGGGAGTTTGGCCACTGGAATGGTTTTGTTTTTCGTAACACTGCTAAACACAAAGAAACCCAGGAGCTTGGCAGCCTATTCCACCATGTAAATCCATGTCTTTCTAAATTACCAGAAAGTTCACTTGAGGTCAAAATCCTCCATGAAAATTTGGCTTCTGAAATACCTCCTAACCAGTACCTCAAATCCTTCTTTTAGCATTATTCACCATAGGTGAAGGAAAAAATGGAGTACCACCAGCCTTTGGGAATGGCATAAAAGTTTCAGGGGACTGATAATGAGGCCAGTGAAGCAGTAACTGAGAGCAGTTAAAACACCCACCAGCAGCCAAGTCACCCCCGGGGTGGCTGTCACAGCCAGGAGGAATTGGGTGGCAGAAACGATCAAGAACCTTCTACAGAGCACTGCAGATTGGCCATTCAGCAACAGGTAGGGCTCACTCTCACACCTTTAGCCAGCTAATCTGTCTGTAAGTAAATAGAGGGAGACATTAGGAAGGGTTTTTGCAGTTCCTAATCCTACACCTCATGAGTCAGTTCTGTAGTAACCATGACAAATGCTGCCATGGTGCTTTGCAGCAGTTGCCTGGGCTCACAGGGTTACAAAAGGCAGTGGCAGGTTTGTTTACTTTTACATTCATTTTTGGCTTCTTTGTTGCTGCAGCTACAAAGTTCTGGTAGTTTTGGCTGTGCTTCTGTGATTGTAATGTCTTTTATGTGGATGTTTTGCATGTAATTGCAGTTATCCAGAGTTACCTCATTGCTCCATGGAAGTGCACAAGACACTGCTGTGTGAAGTCCAAGAAACAGAGAAGTTATGCTCAAGGAAAGAACAGCAGCTCCTGGTCTGAGCACACACAGTGCCCTGTTCAGGTGTTGATATTCTTCTCAAAACAGGCTCAGTCCACCTGCCTGGACTATACAAGCAACCAGGGAACACTCACAGGCAAACAGGAAGAAAAGTACTTGAAGTGTCTGGTATAGCACTTATGTCCAGTGGAACAGTATACTAAATTTATAGAGGTGGGAGAAGAGAAAGTGCAGATCCAATCCTTCCTTCCACAAGATAAAACAGGTTAAAAGAAAGTTTCCTACACTCTCCATCAACCCTTCCCTCACATCTTCATGATGCCTGCCCCCTCTAAAATCCTCAGCACTATCCAGTCAGTGATCAGCCAGCCTTGGAGCACAGGAAAATTACCTACCTAATGCTTCAGTCCAGATCCCTTCAGAACTCTGCACTCTAAAGAAAACTAAGCTTTAAATGAATGTTATCACCATAATGAACAAATTGATAGTATAAATGTGCTCCCTGCAATTTACTTCTCTTTCTGGAATTAGTGTCTGAGTATTTCAGAAGATACTGTTTTCTTGTAGCTAAAAGGAACTGGAGATTCACCATATTAGTGATTCTGCAAGTGTCTTTAGATGGGAGAATTAACACCTACAGCAGGCAACATGATTGACTTGCATCAGAGCACCACTACCTTTCAGGAGCTTGACAGACACTAATTTTGGAAAGGTGTTTTGCATGGAAGACTGGCATTCACAGCACATAGAAAATTAAATACGTGCGGGTGTTACTTAGCAACCTACAGAACAAGACTTTCAGAGTAGATAGAAAAATTACCAACTTGAAAGGATAAAGTTTGCTAACGTGTAGGAGCAGCAACTGCTCTTCAAAGCCTTGGAACTAAAACTCACTGCTGTACAGAGAGCCAGTCAGAGCCACACCACTGCCTTAGAGCAGTCTCCTAAAACAATTCAGCATTTTCTGTGAGCTACAACTATGAACTGTAAAGCCACACAGCAGGAGAAAAATGTCAGCATTACACTGGATTCTCAAGGCTTTCCAGAGTTTTGGTTAACTGCTTTTATGAGTAGCTGGCTAGCCAGGGACAGGACAGATTCAGAAATTGCAGGGCTCTCCAACCCAAGGACCACTTGAGCTAAACACCTCTTTAGCAGAGATTTGTTTTGCAAACACCCACAACCAAGGTCTCGGTTTTTTCAGTTTATTGTACAAAGCAGCACAACACAGTACAAACAACCCCACAGGCAGACAGGCTCTCCAGCACTGACATACAAGCAGTTCTATGCTACAGGATTTGTCTACAACCTCTGTGAGAGGCCCAGAGACATATGATAAAGCAGCCAGGGCCGTTCATCTTGCCTGAAACACCACTTCAGGAGACCAGTGGAGATTCACAGAGTAAAAATGCATGAGCACACTGACACCATTCAAGCCACACACCAAAGCACACTGTGAAGAGGGCACTTCTGGTGAGGAGTCCCAGGTGTGTTTATGCCTTTGGAAAACACTCACTCACGCTGAGGGAAGGAACATGTGCCCTGCTGGGTCTCCAAAAGACTGCTCTAAAATCCTCAACACCTTCCTTCTGCCCCGACCTTCCACAGGTAACTCTTCAGGGAATTCATTTGTGCTGAGTGGAGCTGGAAAAAACAGCCACAGCCACATAGTCCCCAAAAGCAGCTGTGCACAAGACAAAATCTGCTCAGTTACCTAGGACAGCAACAGAAGTCCAAATTACAGGTTTCCATAGTTTAATTACAAGCCACCTATCCAACGGATGGAGCTCTCTCATTAGGAATGGCTGTTCACACTTTTGGGCAATTAAAGCAACCCATTCATTATTCTATTCTACAAAAATCATAGTTCTGGGTTTTGGTGTCCCTGCCTCAGGTTTTATATTGGTTATTGCCATTTCAGAAACTTAATGACTGCAAGGTTGTTTGGATTTTTTCTTTTTTAAGAAACTTACAGAACGTACTTTTTGCTACCATGTACTGATATGGAAGGATATGCTGCAAGTACACCAAGGTTGGATTAAATGTACCCTTTCAATCTTGATTTGCATAGCTTTCTATACATAAACATAGTCAAGAAAACAAAGCTTGGAGTCTACAGAAGTATTTGTCACAGAATAGATAAATAGTAGGCAGTGAGGCTTTCCTAGCAGTTATCTGGAGCCAGAAAGTAAAAATATTGTTCTTCCTGCTATTAGGATTTAAATAGATATTCAAGTCAATTCTAAAAGCAAGTCAGAGGATGGGAAGAAATACCAGTGTGGGAAGATATTACATAAACTGAGATGCAACTGAAAATAGAAAACTAGGAAAGTACTGTGATCCTCTTCAATCTACAGGTCAAACAGACCCAACTGCCACTATTATCTTAGTTCCCATTATTTGCTTGGGCAGGAAAGAGGGGGAAATCAAATCTGAATGCCAAACTCCAAGCCCTGCATCTTAAAGGGATATAACCAAGATTTTTAGCAACTGTGTTTCACTGCCTTAAATATCATCCTATTCCATCCCCTGCCATGGACAGAAACACCTTCCTTTATCCCAGGTTGCTCAGAGCTTCATCCAACCTGGCTTTGAACACTTCCAGGGATGGGGCACCCAAAACTTTTCTGGGCCATCTGTGCCAGGGCCTCACCACCCTCACAGCAAACAGAGGGTGCTGTGAATTCAGGGTCAGCTCTGGCCAGGCAAGAGCCTTGGTCTCACTTTGTCTGAGAAACAACATTCACCTTAGTCATGTCTCACACTCATGAGTATCACAGCAGAGAAATATCATGAAAATACAGCCATGGATGGTGGTGGGAGTGGAAGCACAAAGAAAATGCAAACTCTGAGAGCCTCAGTAAGGCTGAAAAGGTGATGTCACACGTCCAGTTTCTTTCATTGAAGCTGAAGGAGGACTTCTGGCTGCAGTTAGCAGCAGTTTAACCAGGAGTAGTAAAGGCACCCTCAGCAGGAGAGAGGAAGGAAGAGTCATGCACTTATGCCAGTTTCACTGAAATCCCTACAGAAGGAACAAAGAACTAAAACAGAAAAAAAAATAAGTATATCATAGGAAGAGCAATCACTTTTACATGCTTCTATTAGCTATGCTAGACACTGAAAAAGTAAGGTACTTCACTCAGAATAAGGTAACAGAGACAAGTATGTGGGGTTTTTTCTTTTTTCTTAATTTATTTTAAAGGTGTCCATATACAAAACCAAGTAGCATGACAAAAATAAGAGGAACCAGAAGTACCTGCCCACAAAGGGGATTTCAACATGGCAAAGTTTAACTGAAACACAGTGGGGAAGTGAAACTAAATAGGAGAGGGGTTTGATGCTAAACATTAGGTTGATCTGCTCTTTAATTCTTTATAGTGTTTGTCATATACACAGTTGGGGCAGACATACCTTTTTCTGACATGAGCCCTTAAGGGTGAGCAACCATAAACAGGGGAACAAAGCAATGCTATAAAAGCTGCTGATATCTTACTACTGCTGAAGCTAAATGAGCCACAAAAACACTGCAGAGAATAACTTATTACCACTTTCAGGAACTCTGTGCATATGCTGGCCAGGACTCAGGAGGTTATATGGAATGAAACATCAGTAACATCTCTGAGAATTTGCCAGTTAATTTAAAGACGACTCAGCTATATCAAAGTCCCTACCAATTCTGCAATATCAGAGATGCAGATACCAACAGACTGGCACTGAGGAAAACAACATAAAGCAAAGGATAAATACTTGTTCAGCCTTAACAAGCAGTTTTCAAACCTATCTAGACAATCCACAGTTATTTCAATAGAGAGTGATTAATTGTGCCAATTACTGGCTGTTGGTAATTGTCTCTACATTTTTACTTAAGGTACAAATGCATAAGTGAATGTGTATTTTTTGAGAACAGTCAGGCTGACAAGTATTGAGGGGCTGTCTACATTAGACATTGTAATGAACAGCTTTATAGTCCCTTTAGAGGTCCTAACAACCTGGTGAAAACCTATGTTTGATGTAAAAAAAAAGAAACGAGACACAGTTCTTTGCATGAGAAGTTTTATTTGTTTTAACAAAATACACAGTTTTTAACAGGAGCACTCACTTAGGAGCCCTTCAGCCTCCTGAGTATTGCCCTTTCAGAGGAAGGGTTCTGGATGCCTGCTGATCTAAAATCACCTTTGTAAAGTCCAGACAAGCTTAGCCAAACCATCCATTCCTTCCCAGCAGGAATCACAACCATCACAACTCTCCTGATTGCCACAGGGAAATGGCATGGAGCTCACCAGCAAAGGGTTAACAGCACAGACATGTGGAGCTTCCCCATTTACTGCTGTGGCTGCAGACCAGGTCTGGAAGGACAACAGTCCCCTGCTATTCCAGGCCCAATGTTCTCAAACTGAAACTGCCCTTTTTCTCACTGTGGCTGGATATGATGCACAAGTGAAGCATATTAGGTTTGGTACCACTAAGTGACAAGAGATCCAGCTGGAATCAGCACTCCAGACATTATCTTATTCCCCCCATTTATTTCTAGACACTTTCTGTATATAAGTCACACTATACACAGCATACTTTTTTAAAAAAGTCAGGCCTATAAATAGCTCCCCACTACTCCCTTCTCCAAAGAGAATTCCATAACTGCACAGCACACACATATATAGCTTTCCATCTGAAGATTTTTTGGGAAAAAAAAAAGTGAAGCACCATTACCAAGGGAAACTAATGGTTACTCAGAAAGCAGGCATTAGCTTCTGCCTGACATCAATTCGTGTTCAGGTATCTCCACACTTCAATTCCTTGAAGTTTTATTCTCTTAAATAATATCAGCTCTACCCTGTCTCCAAGCTCCAGTTGACACCAAGTGGATCCCTTATGTGACAAGAGAGGGGGAGGCAGCAACTGGGCATGAATTGCACTGTCTTCCTCAGAGACATAAGGGAGGTAATTTGACCCAAAAAAAAAAAAAGTAGATAACCCTCCACTTTGTATTTCCAGGCAGCTGGAAACCCAGCAGACAATGTAGCTGTTGCTTAACAAACACAGAAATCTACATTGTATGCCAGGTTCATGCCCCAAACCTGGACAGTCTTCACACAACTGGTAAAAACCAGCTATGCACACCCAGTTCACAGCACGGTTTCCTCCCTTAACACACTGCAGGTATGCAATCAGCAAAGGTGTTTCAATACCTTCCCTTTGCAGGAGAGATCCAAGAGCCTTCACTGATAATTGTGAAGTCCAGCTATCTTCTTAGCTGAAATTTGCTAATATTCTCATTGGTTTTGACTACTGTAAAGCCCAGGACTAGGCTACAAGAAAGGCTGTTGCTTTCCAATCCAATATCCAGGTGTTTAATCTGATTCCCACTGTGAAGCAGATCCAACAGATATCCAATCCTTTATTTGGGGCCACACCTCAGGTGTTAAACTTGCTCGCACTGTGAACTTGTTCTGCACCCAGGAGAGAAGACACAAATCCAACAAAAAGTCTAGACAGGAGGCAGGAGATGTCATCAGAGACCCAGTAGCCAGATGTAGCTGCTGATTGTAAAGACAGAATCTACACTGACTACTGAGCGACTGATAGGCAACTACAGGTTCTGAGTTGATTGATCCACAGCATTAATCCAAAACGACCTGCAGAAACAATCAGGAAAAAAAATTAAAATCAGTATGTGACAGAGTTCTGTAGATTAGCCTTTGTAAACAAAGAATTTTCCACCATTGGTATCACACAGGTTTCTTGTGGACAGCAAACAGAAAAGTGTGTTGCCAGAACAGTCACCTCAGGTATGCAGCCATTGGCTTTTAGAGTTAAACAGTACTCACAGTGTTCTTACATCTTGATTCTGAAATAAACTCTTTCATCCCCATATATTACTGAAGACCTGCCCCCAAAAAGCAAATAATAATAACCGCTCACAAATGTGAAGTAGAATAATTACAAAACCAAAGTCACATTAAGTTTCTTCTTAATCCTCCAACAATGCTGTACAAAATGACAAAAAAACATGAATTATGCAAAACCAGGCTGTTCTTAGTCTGTCAGAAAGGGTATTCAGTAAACAAAAGTAAATTTATAGGCATGCAGGCAATCCTGGAATGGGAAAACATATCCCACACTGTAGTGGGGAAAAAAGTACAGCTCCTGTGTAATTTAGCAGAGACAAGGAAAGATGCTTAGAGTTAGTTTCTATTAGAAATCAGTCCAGCACATCAAGTCTTTGCATGGTGGTTTGAAATTCTTTTATCTCTGTTGTTAAATGAAGAATTCCTGGCTCCTCTCTGCCCCAGCACAGTGCAGCACTTCTGAGCAAAATCCCAGTGGATGCATGCCCAGCTTGGCCTTCCAGCAGTGCCTGAAATGCACTCAGGGAGCTCCTTGAAGTCTTGTAGGTGTTAAGACTTTCATTGCAAGAAATGTCATTATTGGTAAAAAAAACCAAAACACCCATCAAGTTAGAACTGCTCATTAAATATTTCAAGTATTTGCTTAAATATAACATTTATCTGGGAACTGGGAAGACTTTCAGCTTCAATGACAGTTTTTTAATAGCCATCAGCCTGCCAAGTGGGTTTTTTCCCCTTCTTTTTAAACACAGAACCATAACCAACTGTAAGAACTTTAATGTATTTTTAATAATTTTTTTTAAGCACTTTTACCACTAATGTTTGATTAGATCATAGCAATATCAGCAGTGATTCAAGACTGATCAATTGCAAAGAAAATAAGAGAACAGCTTGCTATCATACTTCTGGAAGAGTGGTAGTCACTATGCCCCCATTGTAATAGAATCATGCATGCACTGCTGAACTTTTTTCCACAATAGGGTTTCTCAAATAGCATTAATTAATGATGAACAAGCATGATTTAATGTACAGTACCTATGCCAACCTCTGGAGCTTGCAGAACAGGGAGGTTTCCCAGGAACAGGTACCAGAGGCACAAGAGCAGTGGCACTGAAGCTGGGAATTGAACATGGGCACTTCTCAGTGATTTGCACAACTCACTCACTGCAACCTGTCTGCTTCTCCCTCATTCTGTAGGCAACAATTTCACCCTTCCCTGGCTTCAATCCTCCTCAAGACAAGCCAACATAACCCACTGCAGTATGGCCACCATGCTGCAGCTTAGAGCTAAAGTCATTTCCAACCTCAGAGCACAACACCCCAGCTTCCCTCTCAGTCAGGGCATAGCAGAATTCAGGAGGCAAAGGATCATTCCTCCTGAAACAGAGGCAGACAAAGCTTTTCCACCACAGGCACTTTGGGCTTGGGGCCACTCAGAGGAAACATCTCCCTTCCCATCCTCAGTCAAGCAGGTTCTGGAACAAGCCAGAGAAAAAACATAGTCACCATCTGCAAGGAGAGGCCAAGAGGCTCAGGAGCAGCTTTACAAGACTTTTGGTGGTATAAGTGTTACTTTTAAACTAGAAATTTTTATTTTAATGAAAAAGCTTTTGATTTGTTACATCAACTATTCTGTGAGTTTTAGCCAGAGCCCCTGCAACTCAAAGAGGAAAAGTAAGGTGAGGGATGAGCAGAGCCTTGAACCCCAATACCACCTTCTGTTTTAGGACAGGTGATGCTGAGGGGCAGCTGTTGAGCAGTTTTGTAAGGACCCTCAGACTTCTGAAGTTCCCCCAGACCTCTAAGGGTGTCCATTACACCCAGGTCCATTCCAGCCCTAACCAGGGCAGCAGGACAAAGTCCAACTCTTCAGATGACAAAGAGCTGGGTGACTTCACATTCAGAGCTCCTGCAGGAAGGGAAAGGGAGGAGGTTTGTGAACAGACATGCAGGAGCTCTTTGCACACTGAAGCCTCAAGCTGTACCATAATCCTGAGCACTGCCTCAGTTTGGTATTTGTGCAGACAGGAGTCTCACTGCTTCATGAAAGCAAGAAATACTTCAAGAAATACCAAGTTACTGAAAAAAACCACACCATCTGTCATCATCTAAATCCAACAGGCAAAGCTTTTGACACTGGTGAACTGTTCTAATATAAAGGTTTATTGCCAAAAAAAGCAAGAGGCAACTGAGACCATCACCATATCATGCTAAAATAGAAAACAACTGGATATGTTGTGCATTAAATACAAAGGCAGGTGATCAGAAAACTTGTGAATCACCTAACTCACACCTTTACTGGTTGAATCAAGTTATGTTTAATATGCTTGAATAATCTTCAAGTGCATCAATCAGGGCAAGAAACAACAGATGCACAGGCCACCATTCTTTGTCTGGTTCGGATTAAACAAGTTTTAAAATCGAAAGGTCTAGATCTGGAATTGATAGGGAAAGGAACAATCAGGTTCTCATCAAACAGCTCTACTGTGAGAGTTACATCATGGGCTGATACATTCTAAACATAGGGATGGCACTGACAAGTATTAAAATCTGTACTGAAAGAGGATGGAAAGCTATTCATTACAAATATTTTGGTGGGTGGGGAAAGGGAGAAGGGAATTACTTGTGTTTGGACAATGGCTCTTCCCATGAAGCTACTGAAATTGGTAAAATGTTATTGACCTGGACAGCACAGCCAGAGGTGTCAAGTGAACTGAACAAAAAAAAAATAGGCGCCATTTTACTGGTTTGTTTAGAATCCATACTGTGATATTTACAAGTGGGGAAGCTAGATGCTTTTAACAAAAATAATTTTAAAAAATCATTACCTGGATGCCAGCTTCAGTAGCTTCCCAAACAAAAGCAAGCTAGCATCCCTGCAAGTCCAGAGCTGACAGTTTCACTGAGATTTAATAAAGCCATCACCAAGGACAGCCAAAACACATAATCTAGTACACTGGCATGGCAGTTGAAGAAATATTTCCACATGCTTAATGCACAACACAATGGAATTTCAGCATTTACCAAGCATGCCAAGAACTTCTAATTACCTAATACGAATTTAGGCAAAGAGCCATTCTGTCTTAAGTTTTGAATTCAGTAAAACAGATCAGTGCATTGTTTCAAGCAAGTAGGCACAGAGTTTATAAAGGAAATGCATAACCGTGGATTCAGCTCTGCACTGCAATACACACCACCTAGCAAAGTGGGAAAGTTAATCAAGGCAGTAACTTTTCTGTTTTAAAAGCCCACAGTAATGACACAGAAGGTGAAACCAACATTAAATACAGGTGTCCAATTAAAACTCATTCTCACACACACGAATTCCTCTGCAGTTACATAATTACACTAGAGCCAGGATATCTCTGCAGCAAAGCATGTTTTCAGTGATCCCAGCTCCTGCATACCTCAGACCCTGTGACTGTAGTGGTCAAACCCATTCAGACCAGCTGATGGTCACTTGACTCTCTGCACTATTTATACATTGCTCTATGAAGTGAAGCTTCTGATTGGGCTGAATAGACTTATGAAAATCCTGCCCAAGACATTTCTTAAATTGCTTTGCCAGACAGCACTAGTATGAGCAGGCCTAGGGAGGTACAGAGTTGGCACAGCCTTTTAAAACAACTTCCTAAAGGCAAAACCACTCTCATTCTCAAAGGCCAGCTAACTAACTTGTTTAAAATTCGATTGCTGATAAGTGCAAACAGTTACCTTTAACCAGGACTTACTTTTGCATTGACCTCACAGACATGGTCTTTGAGGGACTTGATACAGATACAAAACTGGCTTAGCTGCAAAAAAATCCATAAAGGATGTTGTAAATAATTACTTATTTGAGCATGCAAAAAATGACCAAGCCAAGCTGTTGACTAATTCAACATAGGATTTACAGCCATAATAAAACAGGTCTCACAAGGAGTTCAGCAAACTGTTCACAAAATTGATGGAATAATGAAGCCTGCAGCTTTGAAGAATGGCACAAAACAACCATGGAAGGGTATAAGCATGAGTTAAGGTCCTTCAGCTAGGGGCTTCTGTATGCTAGTAAGTAATGAACTAAGCTTCTATAATGCCTGCATTAGGACCACACTGTTCTGCAAGTGAGTAACATTCAGTTGTCAGCTATTGTTAGTGCATGCTCATACCCCAGTGCATTGTAACTGTCCTCTGGATGGTAATAGAATGTGAGAAACTGAATTAACTTATTCATCAAATCACAATTTTATGAGCAGTAAGGTAGAATTTTATATAAAAGCAGCCAACAGTGCTGGTAAAGTTTCTGTTTAGGCACACAGTGTTAAACAAACACCTTGCCAGAGGATTCCAGCTCAGTTTTTTTACAAGACTTATGGAAGGTAGTGCTGTGCACATGAAAGGTATCAGAGAAACACCCACAGCCAGACCTGCCTGCATGCACACAAACCAAACACTTCCAAGCACAAGGGAGGGTTACACAGTGCAGGAGACTGCTAAAGCACAGAAAGGTGAAAAAAAAAAGTTGAAAAAAATCTGTGTGCCCTGGGCTCCCTTCAGCAGTCACAGCCCCTGGGCCACTGCAATAGGTTTGCCAGACTC